AGGAAAATGTTAGTTAATTTATCCCGTATACTGGAAACGTAGATTGTTTAATACATAGCTTTTATTTACAACTCTACTCCTTGGAGTTAACTTAGTGGAGACCAGCTATTTCCAGTCAGAGAGAAGGCCCAACTCCCTCAATCAATCAATCAATCAATCAATCAATCCTTTATTTAAACACGTGACACCTAGGAGTACAGAAGTTCTCGTTAAAACGTGTACGTGTATGTACAATTAGAAGTAAAACATAATTTCTGTAAGAATACAAATAATAAGTAGATCTATTAAATAACTAAAAACAGGATCGAAGATCGTAGACAAGAGCTATCAATAAAAAGTTACAATATTAACAATAACGATATTTACAATCACTACCACTAAGCTATGTGGGCTTTAAGAGAACGCTTGAATGAGACAATATCTTGAGATTCTCTGAGTCTAGGGGGTAGCGCATTCCAAAGGTTACTAGCTAAAAATGAAAAAGACCGATGTAAAAACTCAAGATTAAAAGGAGGTAAATCTAGCCTTGTACTGAGCCCACGTAAACTATACGGTACATTTCTAAAATTAAAAAAATCACTTATATAAGGAGCCCCCTTATTATACAAGCACTTATATAACATAACTAACGATTGGAATTGCCTACGATTCTCCAAAGACTTAATGTCGGCCAACTTGAGGAGGAAGTCGTATGACACAGACTTCGAGAAGCCTAATATAGTTCTTAATAGTTCCAAGGGCCTCTCAAGGCCCTTGGAATGCTCACGGTGGCCCTGAGAGAAGGCCAACTCGCTTCTATTCATCCATTGTGTGCATCCCCTTCGGTTGTAGGTTTTGGTTTCTTGGTACTCCAGGGGTCCACGGGGCAAAAATATCAATCGCGATATTTCTCTAGCACACAGAGATGCAAATAATGAGAAGATGGATAAGTACTGATAAAATATACCTTAGCTTTCATATAAAATTACAGACTTAAATGTTAAATAACTTGACAGTTAATAGCACTTTCCCATTTTGTTCAAGTTTTGCAAGGCCCTTAGACATCTCGGCGGCTTAAATTGTGAAAAAAAAAATATCTTTTCCTCCTTCTGCTTTATCTAAGAGAATTAAACAGCCTCTTCCCGCCTAATATTCAATAACAAGCTTGCTATATAAAAAAGAAACCAATCAAATTACCGGAAAGTGAAAGTTAAAGAAGCCATTGTGTGGCAATTTTTGCAGAGTGCTGATCAATAGACTGTGTATAATGACTTTAATGCTGTACTTGGGCGATTGAATTTTGCGCTTTCGAAATGGATGGAATAAAGCGGTAATCAGACTTCATGTTATACCATCGTGGTCTGTAAATGGGTAGCAGAAAAGTGTCAGGACAAAATGATAATATTCGGGCATCCTACTCCGGAGGGGTAGTGTAATCTATTTGTTTTTGAAGGAGGATAAACTTGTTTGAATCTTTTTTCTCTTTTGTCTACAACAACGACAGCAACAATGAAAAACCTCAATCTTTTTCAAGTTACAACTCACGTGTAGTTGCTGTGGAATGTAAACAAACAGCTGGCCTGCACCTTAGTAACCGTATGTAGCAGTTGTAACTGCACCAGTTGGCTGAATAATAACCAGACCTTTCTGCAGTCCTGTGTACGCAGACCGCCCATGCTGAATGTACATCACCTGCTGATTGGTTACCGTCTAAAAACCAAACGTAAAAATNGACGTTTCGAGCGTTAGCCCTTCGACAGAGCGAATGAAGAAGGGCTAACGCTCGAAACGTCAGCTTTTTAACTCCTTACAGTGGCCAATTCACAATTTCAACTTAGTTGATATAACCAAATGACCTTGTTACCCCCACCGATGATGCAGCACCACAGTTTCTTTAGAAACTTGTCCAATTTATTTATTTATTCATTTATTTATGAATTCGTATGTTCCCGTATGTAAATCTAAGACTTCGTGTGTTATTCGCACGTCACTTGAACTACTCCCGTGATGTTGAAAGCGGTAACCCATTGTTTCACATCGGAACATGATACCGTCGTTAGTGCATCGTGTGTCGGATAAATTTGAATTAGACGTCACTGTCTGATAAGGATCTTTTTACTTCCAAATTCAGTCTATTTTCTATTGTATTTGTAACATTGTTTAGGTTTTTGTTCGTTTATTCATTTCTATTTTAACACGGAGGTATCTTAAGTCAGCTCATTTTTTAGGATTTGAACTGTGCAAGGCTCAACAGGGACTTCCGCTTTGCTAGGGGTGCATCTGACCTTTCAAGTCTTGGTAGTACACAATCTCTTCTGTTTCACTCGCCATTTCAAGTTTCTACACTTCATCAAATCCTCGTAGGTCTTGGCATACAAAGGAGCAGTGGTAACTCGTGGATATTTGTTTAGGCATCCCGACCGTTTGTTTGCAGCTTCAAACTTATTGAGATATTTCTCACTTTTAACTTGAATGTTAAGGTAGGCTTGGCAGCTTACGTTGTCGTGTAAATTCAGTACGGCTTCAATGGAACCGTTTCTAACAATGGCTTATACTTAAACGGAAATATACTAACGCTGCCAGTCACTAGAAGGGCATTTCGTAGTTAATTGTCCCCATTTTGTATCCAGAGTCGCTTTTAATATCATCACATTGCTGCTTAATCGGCACCAACGAAACAGCACGATTTAGACTTTCGTCCAATTCATATATGTTATTGACCAGCTACCTTTCTATACCAAGAAATGGTTAGATACTCTAGTCTTCTCGGATAGGGACGAATAAATGGAGGTCCCGTCTCCTGCAGAGTTAGGGGTAGGAGACGTTAATTTCCCAC